TAATTTTAATTTATTTATTTTATAGAGACATAGTCCCTGCCATGTTGCCTATGCTGGAGTGCAGTGTCTATTCACAGGCATGATCCCACAGCTGATCAGCATGGGAGTTTTTGTTTTTGTTTTTGAGATGGAGTCTCACTCTGTCCTCCAGGCTAGAGTGCAGTGGCACAATCTCAGCTCACTGCGACCTCTGCCTCCCAGGTTCAAGCAATTCTCCCTGCCCCAGACTCCTGAGTAGCTGGGATTACAGGCGTGTGCCACCACGCCTGGCTAATTTTTGTATTTTTTAGTAGAGATGGGGTTTCACCATGTTGACCAGGCTGGTCTCGAACTCCTGACCTCAGGTGATCCACCTACCTCAGCCTCCCAAAATGCTGGGATTACAGGTGTGAGTCGCTGCGCCTGGCGCTGAACAGGAGTTTTGACCTGCTCATTTTTGGACCTGGGCCAGTTCACCCCTCCTTAGGCAACCTGGTGGCCCCTCACTCTTGGGGAGTCACCATATTGATGGTGAACTTAGTGCGGACACCCGAATAGATTAGTACACTACAGCCCACAGCTCCTGGGTTCAAGTAATCCTCCCTGCCTCAGCTCTCAGCTTCCTCAGTAACTGGGGAAAGTAAAGATTGCTTTACCTTTTTTTTTTTTTTGACAGAGCTTCGTTCTGTCACTGAGGATAGAGTGCAGTGGTGTGATCTTGGCTCACTGCAACCTCTGCTTCCTGGATTCAAGCAATCCTCCCACCTCAGCCTCCCGAATAGCTGGGACTACAGGTGCATGCCACCACACCCGGCTAATTTTTGTATTTTTTGTAGAGACAGGGTTTCCCCATATGACCCAGGCTGGTGTTCAACTCCTGAGCTCAAGATATTCACCCACCTCAGCCTCCCAAAGTATGGGGATTACAGGCATGAGCCACTGCGTCTGCCCTCATTTACCTTTTAAAAATTAAGGTAAGGACAGGCACAGTGCCTCATGCCTGGAATCCCAGCACTTTGGGAGGCTGAGGCAGGAGAATCGCTGAAGCCCAGAAGTTCAAGGCTGTAGTGACCTACGATGGCACCACTGTACTACAGCGCAGGCAGTAGAGTGAGACTGGCTCACACACAAAACCAAACAAAAACAAACAAACAACAACAAAAAAGTAAATAATCAGAAAACTTCAACACTTTATTGTTAAATTGTTAAAACGATTGTGTTTGTCACTTTACAAGTGACCCTAATAAATTACATTTCTAAAGTACTGAATTCTGTTAATGTATTGAAAAGACACCTGATTGCGTAAGAACCTAGGCCACTCTAGTAATAAAATCTTTATTCTCCACAACAGCCACTCTTACAGCTAGCAGAGAAACACTTTAGGAAAGGTGTGGCTTTTTGTGGTGAAATGGCAGGAATAGCTCCTGTACTACTGTCTCCATGTAAGCCTAGTAGAGGCAGATTTTTTTTTTTTTTAAGAGAAACACCAATAAATGGGAGGCAGTTGGTATAGTGCGAGGGCATGTGATTCTGTGCTCCACATAAACTAGGTTCCTGGTTCATCGACAAGGATGTGCGGAGTTGTAAAGTTCATTTTGAAGGATAAATGTTAATTCTGGCATTTATTGACCATCCACTGCAAGCAATATGCCTAACAGTTTGTAAATCCCAATATGAGAGAAAAAAATCTCATTCAAGAATTGTAACACAAGTGAACATATTGATTACTTATTTTAGAAACAGAGTCTTGCTATGTTGCTCAGGCTGGTCTCGAACTCCGGGGCCCAAGTTATTTTCCTGCCTCAGCCTCCCAAGTAGCTGGGAATACAGGGGCCTGCTAACCTGGCTATAAGGGGATGTATTTATTCTCAGAATATTTATTGAGTGCCCACTATGTGTCACACTGTTCTAGGGGCTGGAGATGCAGCAATAAAGACAATAAAAGTTCTTGTCCCTTTTGTTCATGATTTAGAGGTGCGGCTTACTTTTTAGTGATGGAGGTTACAATCTAGTGAAATGGTGATTTGCAGCATGGGGTATTTTTAGAGTGCTTGATTTAGTTTTCTTTTTATTTAAAAATACATTGTTGCCATCACTTTTGCAAGTGGAGTAGTTCTTATCAGTCTCTTTGAGGATCCATCTAGTTGAGGCATTTAAAAACATCACAATGCCTTAGACTTGTAAGAGACCTTAGTTGTGACAGTAGTTTTAACTCCTTTATTTTACATATGAAAAAAAGGAAGTGATTTAGCTGAGTTTACCCACTGCATTACTGAGAGGTTAAAGACTAGGCCTCAAATCTCGTTCTCTTGTATACTTTCCTCAATCATACTCCTCATGGTTCCTGGTTTCCGAATTCGGGTCTGAATCATGAGAAGCTACATTTGCAAAAAGTACAGATAGTACAATGAGTTCAGAGACTGCTATGTAAATGGAGTGACTTGGTTAATCAGAAAGAAGGCGCGGTGAAAGACATTCGTCTCAGGATACCTGAGCTCTAACCCTGGCCTATTCATTAAAGAAAAACCATTTAACCTGGGCCCTAACTTCCTTGTCTTTAAAATGAAGGGCTAGACTATGGATTTACAACGGCTCAACTTACGATTTTTCTACTTTACGATGGGTTTATCGGTGTACCAAATGCATTTTCGATTTATGATATTTTTTATTTAAGATGGATTTATCGGGAAGTATCCCCATTCTAAATCGAAGAGCATCTGCAGTTGATGAGGCCAAGTGCATAGTACTTTGAGTCCTTTAAAATATGTACCTACGTACAGGGATTTACAAAGTGCCTGGCACATAGTGCTAAAAAAAAATTATTTATTTATTTATTTAGAGGCGGAGTCTCGCTCTGTCGCCCAGGCTGGAGTGCAGTGGCACGATCTCGGCTCACTGCACCCTCCGACTCCCGGGTTCAAGCAATTCTCTCTGCCTCAGCCTCCCGAGTAGTTGAGATTACAGGCACCCGCCACCACGCCAGGCTAATTTTTGTATATTTTTTTTAGTAGAGATGGGGTTTCACCAAGTTGGCCAGGCTGGTCTTGAAATCCTGACCTCAGGTGCCCGCCTCCGCCTCCCAAAGTGCTGGAATTACACACGTGAGCCACCGCGCCCGGCCAAAAAATGTTGTTTTATTATTAATCGCACAACAATCTTATATAGATGCCATTCAGAAGATGAAAACGTTGAGAATTACAGAAATTAAGCAATACTTCCAAGATCTATCAGCTAAGAAACAGGGGAAGCAGGCTGAGAACCCTGGACTTCTGACTGTACCATTTCCTTTGTAGTTTAGCTATGAAATTATCATTTTACATGAATTCGGAATTGATGTAAACCTAGAAAGATGGAGAGAAACAGCACAGTTAAAGAGGGATCTAGTTTATGCAGAAGTAACCCATGTGCATTGTCAGGAGGCAGCTTTTCTCATGGGAGAGGGATGCAGAGGTAGGGAAAATGTGTGAAGCCTTTAAATGCCAGGCTAAGGAGTGTGGGAGTCGTTAGTGGTTCTTGATCAGAGTGGTGGCATAATATTAACAGCATTTTATTATTCATCTGGTTGTGGACTACTGAATCGATTGGGGAGGTGGAAGTGGAGCTTCGGAGACCAGTTTGATGGCTGTTGCTGGAGTCTGCAGTATGAGGACCTTTATTTAGTATACTGAGGTAAAGAGACCTGGGAAGGTGTTCTTTTGTTAGCAGACAGCGTTGAGGGCACATGCAAACTCCTTATATTTAAAAAGGCGTTATGAGTATGTATTGGGTTTCTTTCAAAAGCAGCTACTGCAGAGGCCTGAGAGGCCAAAAGGGCGCCTTTGGAATTAAAGCAGAGTTAGACTCCTGGCTTTGTCATTTTCTAATTAGGTAGCCCAGAGGAAGTCACCTAACCTCTCTTGAGTCTTGATTTCGATTCCTCTAAGTTAGGGGTGACAAGCCCTACTTGTTTGAGCATCTGTGTAGTGCTTTAAGGCATCTAGCAATGGCGCTGCTTGTTAGTTCCCGCCTTCCCCGTGGTGTCCTGCAGGCGGGGACTGAGTAGCTAAGGACCGCGGAGGCCAGGAAAGTCGTTCTACCTGGAGACCCCGGGCTGGCACTTCTGTCCAGACCTGGACAGGCCTCCGAATGCCAGACCTTGGACCAGGCTTCGCACGGGATGACTGAGCATCCCAAGCCAGTCGGTGGGACAGATATTTTCCTCCTCAGAGGGGCTCTGGAGCGAGCGGCAGTCCCTGGCAGCCGTGGGTACCGAGAGGGCGACAGTGCGGAGAGACGGCGCCGACTCCCGAGGCCGAG